AGGAAAGGTTTCCACTGAACCATTTTCTACTGAATTGTTTTAATACTGAGGATTTTAGAGCACTTTTTGCACTTTGGTTAGTTTTTTCACTCTTTTTGCATCTATTTCTGTGTTTATGCCCTTTTGGCAATGCTTTTTAATGTGATCTTTATCCATTAGGAGCCTTTCCACATCTATAGAAAGTCCTGAGTGAATTAGATGGTAGATAGCTGACCTAGGTCTTGGGCAGTGCATTCGCAACAAATTTTTAACAATGTTCTGAATTGAAGAACAGTTTAGATCCCTCGTGATAGTACTGGTTCAGGAAAGGTTTCCACTGAACCATTTTCTACTGAATTGTTTTAATACTGAGGATTTTAGAGCACTTTTTGCACTTTGGTTAGTTTTTTCACTCTTTTTGCATCTATTTCTGTGTTTATGCCCTTTTGGCAATGCTTTTTAATGTGATCTTTATCCATTAGGAGCCTTTCCACATCTATAGAAAGTCCTGAGTGAATTAGATGGTAGATAGCTGACCTAGGTCTTGAGCAGTGCATTCGCAACAAATTTTTAACAATGTTCTGAATTGAAGAACAGTTTAGATCCCTCGTGATAGTACTGGTTAAGGAAAGGTTTCCACTGAACCATTTTCTACTGAATTGTTTTAATACTGAGGATTTTAGAGCACTTTTTGCACTTTGGTTAGTTTTTTCACTCTTTTTGCATCTATTTCTGTGTTTATGCCCTTTTGGCAATGCTTTTTAATGTGATCTTTATCCATTAGGAGCCTTTCCACATCTATAGAAAGTCCTGAGTGAATTAGATGGTAGATAGCTGACCTAGGTCTTGAGCAGTGCATTCGCAACAAATTTTTAACAATGTTCTGAATTGAAGAACAGTTTAGATTCCTGGTGATAGTACTGGTTCAGGAAAGGTTTCCACTGAACCATTTTCTACTGAATTGTTTTAATACTGAGGATTTTAGAGCACTTTTTGCACTTTGGTTAGATTTTTCACTCTTTTTGCATCTATTTCTATGTTTATGCCCTTTTGGCAATGCTTTTTAAGAATATCTTTATCCATTAGAAGCCTTTCCACATCTATAGAAAGTCCTGAGCGAATCAGTTGCTAAATGGCTGCCCTAGGTCTCGAGCAGTGAGCTCGCAACAGATTTTTAACCATGTTCTGAATTGAAAAACAGTTTATATCCCTCGGGATAGTACTGGTTCAGGAAAGGTTTCAACTGAACTATTCTCTACTGAATTGTTTTAATACACAGGATTTTTTACCACTTTTTGCATTTTGAATAGTTTTTTCATTATTTTTTCGTCAATTTCTGTGTTTATGCTCTTTTAGCACTGCTTTTTAAGATGAACTTTATCTATTAGAAACTTCTCCACATCTATAGAAAGTCCTGATTGAATTAGATGGTAGATAGCTGACCTAGGTCTTGAGCAGTGCATTCGCAACAAATTTTTAACAATGTTCTGAATTGAAGAACAGTTTAGATTCCTGGTGATAGTACTGGTTCAGGAAAGGTTTCCACTGAACCATTTTCTACTGAATTGTTTTAATACTGCGGATTTTAGAGCACTTTTTGCACTTTGGTTAATTTTTCACTGTTTTTGCATCTATTTCTATGTTTATGCCCTTTTGGCAATGCTTTTTAAGAATATCTTTATCCATTAGAAGCCTTTCCACATCTATAGAAAGTCCTGAGTGAATCAGTTGCTAAATGGCTGCCCTAATTGAAAAACAGTTTATATTTGTAATGTTTACAATATATTGGTATATCACAAGTAGAGGAGTGCTATACAATGCAACTATGTAGTTCAAACTGGAATTCGACTAATGAATCTGGAAAAAAAACGCTTTTGGTTTTTTAAGTTCTTTGGACTTATCGTGTGAAATCCTCAGTATAGCTTTGGGACCTATTTCTCTTTAAATAAGCAAAGAGAGCTTCAAGGTAGTGAAAGCCAACGAATATGCTTGAATTTGGGTTGTGTACTTCACTGGCCAGAGACCACTTTTATTAAAGAACTTGGAGGTACCAGAGTCGACGTTCGATCACACTGTAACGAATTTTCAAGAATTGCTGTTCAAATTGTATCCTGACATCTGGCATCTTCGAATTCAGGCATTTCGTGTCTTTTGACTTTCCCATCACAGAATCTGTCTGCTATTCTAGATTTGTGTGCGACAACTGTTATTTAATACCACATTAAATAATTTTTTTTTAGCTTATCTGTTGCCAGTCAAGAACTGATCTGATCTGTACCCTGTTGATATTTTTCTTATTTAAAATTAGGTGCAAAAGTGAAAACCAACAGCGATGTATGTTTTGAAGACTATAACAGGAAATAATACATAAAATAAATATAAACAATTTTTATTGGAATTAGTTTTCACTGTTATTATAATCTGTCATCCTTCTGTTCTCGGTTGCTGCAGTTTTAATTTGTTTTAGACCATTATGGGTTATATTTAGTCTATAAATCAGTGTTGTTTCTAGTTTTTCAAAATTAACCTTTAATCTTTTCCCAAAAAATTGCAGTGGTGTCAGGTGTGCCTCAAGGCCCTCACTCCGGGCCACTCTTTTTAATATCCTTCTAAATGATATTAACAGGAGTTTCTTCCATTGTGAATTTTCTTCATTTGCCAATGGTTTGATATTATTTTCAACTAAACAGAAGTTACCTTTGACTTTTCTCCAACATTTGTTCCTCATTCCTTCTGTTTTCTGAAAATTCCTTGAACGGTGATGTATTTGCACTTTGTTGCAGATAATTTTGTATTATGATATACCACTAAAGGAATTTATATGCAAAAAGTTTGAGCCTGATCCTGAAAAACTGAGCGAACTGTTCATGGAAGAAGGGAGGTCTCCGGAAGAGGCCATGGAAATTGTAATAAACATGGATAAGAAAACAAAGCGAGATCTAGTGGAATATTTGTTATATAATGTAAAACCTTAAGACAATTTATACAGTTTTTTATTTGTTGTATACAAATATTAAATTGGAACATAAATAAAATATTTTACATAAGATTTATCCTAAATTTTTGACAGGCTAATACCTCATACATTCTACTAGGCTGGACAAGTGTTAAGTTTCAACTGTAGGCCTTAAGTATTTACTTCTACGACATTCATTCAACGCTATGTTACAGTAACAGTGAACTAAACGTAAGATATGTACAGAGGAGTATTTATAAAATTATCAAAGATATTTCGATGATTATTTTCCTTTACACTCTGTTGGCACATAAACTTTGACTAGTACTTAGAGAAATGCTATGATTTTTAAATTCGTAAAATTTATTGTATTGGTCAAAAGTTTTTACAACTACAACTAATATAGTACATTTGAACAAGGTATTTACAAAAACAATATTTTTTTTTTTTTGATATGAACATGTTCTGCATTGCACATTTGGCTTTCAATCAGCGAAGGTACTTGGCTGAAATTCTAATAAGAACATAGGAAGCAATAAACTTACCCAATACCACTAACCAATAATAATAAACTAAACCAATAATGGAGTAATACTGTGTAAGTTTCAGTGGCCCATTAAGTGTATAAATTATAAAAAAATTTGTGATTTTTTTTCTACAGGGTGTTTCTAAATAAGTGCGAAATATTTTAGGGGGTGGTTGCCAGTTGTTTTTTGAAAAAAGTTCATATAAACGTTGGTTGAAATATGCTTTGTTTCCGAGATACCGAGTGTTTACATTTTTATTTTTTATATATTTTTATTAATTTTGCCAAAGAATTTTAAAGGTTTGACTTGAAATTTGATGGTTGTATTTTATTTAGAAATATTGACAGCAACCTACTAGAAAATGCACAAGTTGCAGTAAAATGTTTTATTTTTCTCCTCAAAAAAAAGGGTGCATCCTACGAAAAAAAATGAAGAAACCAATTTCATTCAGAATTGATGGCGGATTTCTAAAAAAAATATGAAAACGGGAAAAGTCAATGGCGTACGATTTTTTTTATTAAAAAAAGGTTGTGGTGTTCTCGCACAAACGCCACTGGTGCAAGTCGAAATATTTGGATCACCCCAAAAAATGCACATTTATCCCTCCAAAGCGTTTTTTAAATTTCGAGTCAATATCTTTAAAACCCTTTGAAATAATTAACAAAAATAAATAATCAATTAAAATTTAAACACTCTGTATCTCGGTAACGAAGCATATTTCGACCTACGTTTATATGAACTTTTTTTCACAAAATAACTTCAGCAACCACCCCCTAAAATATTTCGCACTTATTTATTAACACCCTGTATAACATCCCCATAAAAAGAAAGGTTGTTATCTGGCTGGATGACTGAACCATCGAACATTTGCTCCACCTTGTCTGCTTTAACCGACCTCTGCATTCTATACTTTCATTGAACACACATTTTCAAAATTCAAAGTAAGAAATCACTATAAAGAGTCAACAAAATAGACAACAATAGTGTAATGTAAGAAATAACAACAGAGTCAACAAAATAAAAGAAGAATAAAATAGGTAGTTTCCACCCCTTAGACAGTTACGGGCAAAGCAGTTGAGGGCTGTTCTGTTCAGTGCACTGCGTCCTGTGTGCAGTAAAAACAAGAAAAAATTGATCTCCCACATTTTCCTCCACTCTCCTAGGGGTTGGTTCTTTGTCTGTGTTCACCCTTCACCATGTCTTCTTTGCCTTCTTGTAAGCTAGATTTACGCGCAAATGGCTCCATCTGTCGTGCTGACTCCCAACTGTGCCATTCAAATGGCTACAGTAGGAAGCGACCTGCTATACTGCAGGTACTTTTTTGCACGACTGCCACCCACAGAGGGAGTAACACAATGTTTTAATTGTCGGTGTTGCGAGAAACAACTACTCCGAGGGCTATATGCCCCTACCGGCATTGAATTATACTCGCAACACCTAGTGCAACAACTAGGATCGTTCGTCAGTTCAACCCACCACGCACAGACCGGTTTCGAACTTATTAGTCCTCATCAGTGTGTCATAGGTGAGACAACCGACAAACGATCCAGATGGAGCCATTTGCGCTCCCGAGTACAATGTATTTCCTTGTCGTGACGATACGACGAAAAACAGCTGGATCGTTTGTCGGTTGTCTCACCTATGACACACTGATGAGGACTAATAAGTCCGAAACCGGTCTGTGCCTGGTGGGTTAAACTGACGAACGATCCTAGCTGTTGCACTAGGTGTTGCGAGTATAATTCAATGCCGGTAGGGGCATATAGCCCTCGGAGTAGTTGTTTCTCGCAACACTGACAATTAAAACTTGTAAGCTTGAATCTTTCATCATGCAGATCTGTCTGGAAGGGTATGGAAGTAGAAAGGGTAGCAACCTCTTCGAGGGAAGCCCTTGGCAGTAATAGAAAAGAGCACGAGTGTGGCAAAGTGCCCATTCATACTCCTTTTCGAAATGATATTGATATTCATAACTTTACCCTTATTTAAGGGATGTTTTTGGCTCTACACAAAAATTTAAGGGGTATACGATTTTTTTGACCTAGGATTCGGATTCAGCGTCGAAAAATACATAAGAATATCAGTATCAGATATCCAGATCACGACCATTTTTTTTGTGGGGTTGTGTAATCGATTTTCAGAAAAAAACTTTATGGCATCTCAAATTCATCAGTTTGTAAGCAGAATGAGTTTTTTATTAGGCTTCAAATGTAGTCATTAATGGTTTCTGTTTCAGTGTGAAATATATGAGGATTGAAAATCCAAATACTAATACTGATTGTATTTGGTAAACAATGAATTATAATCAAGTGTCAGTCAGAAAATCTTTTATCAACTTCAAACATTTCCAGTGTTTCCTAGATTTTCAAATGGAAACAAAAAAATAGGTGTAACATTTTAAGCATGCATACAAAATTGTGTGTTATAACTGTTGTAATTTGTATTATTGGAGTCTTAAAAGAAACTCATAAAAAAAGGGTCTAAAACGATTTTTCGAAAAATCGCAGTGCACCGTATGTTTCTGATTGAATCATCTATTTATGTACTTAATTTGGTCAACAAATACATCTAGAAGATACTGGGTGTTTTGGAAAAACCTACCACAAATCAGGAACTGATAGAGCATCAAAAGGGTAGGTTATCCCAAGGACCATGGCATTTTTTCTTGTTTATTGAAATACAAGGCGTCAAGGAGTCAAATATGATTTTTTAAATTAAGTTTTAGCCATATCTTTTCAAAAATATAATGTGAAGCATTGAAATTTGGTGCAGGAAAATGTTTGAAATATGTCAGTGTTAGATCATCTGGTAAAGGGCTACATATCGCGGGAAAGATGAGTTTGGTTAAGCCAAAGTCAATGTCCCAGTGACATTTTGTAATATAATATTTTTTTGGTTTAGGTTTCCTTGGGATGTATATCACAATTTAAAATTTTACTGCACGTATATTTCTCTCGTCGAAGTCTCCGAAAACGCACCATTTTTGAAAAAACGAAATTGTCTGTCCAAAGTCATACTCTTTGATATACAGGGTGTCCAAAAACGGATGAATCGTACTTCAGGGATAAGTAGCTTTGGTGGGAAAGACCAATTTAGATCAATTTAGTGTAATAATGCTCGTTAAAAAGTTACTGACCTCAAAAAAATAAATAGCATTTTCAATTTAATGTTTACTATTAACGCTTTAAGGACGCAAAATTGTGCTAATGATGTAACTTGAAGTATGGCCCATCCGATTCCGGACACACTGTGTACTACAAAGTAAGTTGGTCGACTTTGAAATAGTCAATTGGATTTTTCTAAGAAACGGTTTATTTTAAGCTATTTAAGCTAACTAGTTATTTTTTAAGTAAAATATTTTAGATTATAATATATGACATAACTAACCTCGCAATAATTGTCATAAAGAGTCACTGGGTAAGGTCGCAGCTTGCGACCGATGTCGGAAACTAATAACATTAACATGTTTCAACCTTAAAAAACATACTTGCATCAAATTTCAGCGCATTACATTGTTTTTTTTTTTGAAAAAATATTACAAGAAATAACATTAGGTGTTTGATTCCTGTTAAAAATTTATCTTATTAAAATTAAAAGAAGATAAAGTTTTTATAAACTTGCTTCCTTATCAGGGCATTAAATATTTAAACAAAAATTAAAAATAAGTTGGACCAGAAGACAGAAACAAAAATCTCTCCACTACGTTTTATTATTTGATTGGTCGCGTTTTAAAAATGCATGGTCCTAATTTGGAAATTTCAAATATAAATAACGTTTACATTATTTTCTCTTCTATCTATTTTAAAAAAATCTACTTGGGGCTGTCTACATTAGTATACTTGCAAGATTACTTTAGGTATATTTTGAGAAAAATTATGTTTAATTCCTGCATCTTTTGAATTATTTTTAGTTAAGCTGGCCATATCCCTGGCCGAGAAATAGTCAAATTACTGGCGTTTTTAGGTTGGAGTTTGGAGTTGTATATAAAAAAGTTAGTATTTTCGTAGATTTCAGTACCTAAAACCTTGATGGTTTGATCGTTTTTTGCACTTGTTTATTCGTTTTACAACGGCGTCTTTGAAAATACCCAGATGGCATAACATAACATTCCTATTATTTGATAAGCTTTAGATTATTCAGTTATTAAATGTTTGAAATTATTTGTCTTTGTGGAAAACACTATTTAAAGAATATGGCGCCGATTTTGAAATAACGTCTACTTTTTAATAAATCGACTAACATATTGTTAAAGTTATTTACTGTATCAAGTATATGTTCGCATATATTTCAATTTCTGATATAAGAACCACATCATCACAGCTTCCACCTAGGCTCGGTACTTTGAGTCGCGATTAAGACTTGATTAACAATCGAGCGATTAGACTGTGACTATCTTTTATAACAAATCAGTACAGTCTAATCGCCTGATCAGTTAATCAATCTTTAACCGAGACTCAAAGTACCGGGCCTTAACCTATTATAA